GAAGTAAATATCTTTGGGTCTCGTCCATAAAATTCTTTATAGTCATCTTTGATTTTATGATATTTTTCTTCATTGGGAAATATTGTTATAGCTAACTTTAATATATATTCTTCTGGGTCTTCTGCTTGACGTAATTTTATAATTTGCTTTTTATAACTTTGCATGAACTTACTTTCTTTTGGTTTTTATAGTATATTCCTGCTTTAACTACATTAATTAAAGCTTGCTCAAATTCTTGATAGGTGGGCTTGGTTTGGATATCTTTTGTATTTTGAGTTTGATTACTCATTATATATGCGTGCTAGTACGAAATTCCTTATCTGTTACTTATAAAATATTTTTATTCAATTTGAAAATTAATATGTACTAGGCATATATAAAAAAATTCAATTAGGTGAATATATATGTGATTTTCTTTTATATACTAGAGAAATATGCGGTCGATTGTGTATGAATTCTAAAGGGTGTTGGCTTCATAAAAATACAATCAAACGCTTTCCTTGTACTGATTGTGGTAAACCTACTCGTTCTAAAAGTAGACGATATCCAGATCATATTAGAAGCTATTATATTGGTAAACATTATCAAAAGTATTTTAAAAGGAAAATAGATACATAATTTTTAGTACTTTGATTTATATATAGGTGAATAGTATATGATATCTGGTGTGACAATGCAATTATTTTTTGTTGTTAACCAATTTGATTATAAAATATAAAAAAAAGAGAGTTCTAGCTATATAATTTTTGGTACCCAGGTTTTTATATAGGTAGTAAAGATTTTTTATAGAATATAGGCTTTCTATGATGATTAAAAAGCAAAATGAATACTTTAGTACCCAGTATACCGAAAATTGACCCCAGAACCCCCCTTTTAACCCTACTGCGTGAAATACAAACACAATGATGGCAGTCAATATGTACTAATTGGGAAGAAAATTACAAAAATAAATAGTTACATAGGTGGAACATGTAATGATAGGTTGCTCCAACTGATCCTAACTTGAAGTTGGCTTAAAATAGTTAACAGAAAAGTAATATAGAAAAATAAGGAGTATAATGCCACATTGGGTGATTAGTAAAAGTAACACAAATAGAAACTGTATATATAATTGTTTTGTAAAAAGGTGTTAATCATGACTAATAAAGTTTCTATGTTGACAATATAAAAAAAAAAAGTAATTTGTTATCTAGTTTGTCTAATATTCTTTAGATTACAAGACAGTTAGCCTATAGTAAAAATAGAACATATATTTCTACTAAATATATAAATATCAATACCCAATGTAATAGTAATGTGCAATAATTATAAATGAACTATGTCTCTTTATAATATTATATTGTTTAAATAAGGTTAGATAATTAATTAAAGATATTAATCAGATTGCTTTTGATAAAAACAGTGAATGTCTTTCTAAAATATATATTAATAGTCTTTTACCTTTATTATAGCTTTGCTCTAAAAGATATGAGTAAAATGCATCTTTTAATAGTATAAAAAATAAAAAAGCAAAAGCATGGTGTCTTTATTGTGTGACTAATAGACCTTGCATGCTCAAGATGACAAACAAGTTGTGTATAATAGAAATGGATTGAGTTCTTCTGAAAATTTTATTAATACGTATTTAGCTTTATTATGAATGTGTGATAAAAAACATGTACCTTTAGATAATATAAAAATGAAAATACGTGATATCTATTTTGCTGTTTATATAAACGTGAAAATTTATATTATGAAATTATATCAAACTATCTTGGACCATTATCTAAAGTATGTAGACCAAATTTTCTTACTATATAAGTGCGAAATAACATGCAGAGGCATTGTTTTAAAATTTAGCCTGAATTAAGCTTAAAATTTAAAACCAAACCCCTGCGTGTTATTTAGTGGTAAACCACCAGAATTACCGGCAGAATTTGAACTTGATATTTATTACCAGATAGACTTGCAATCGAAGTACAAGGGCAACAGCATAAAAAATATAATAAATTCTCTTACAGAGAAGATCCCAAAATTTTTATCATTAGATCAACTCAAGAAAGAATTGTGTAAAAAAAAATGTGTTGTTTTAAGATACCTGGTATTATGAAAACCTATATATAGTTATTCCAGAACACCTTCAAGAATTGGGTCTCGTTAAAACTTCAAATATTCATAATGATGTTACAACAAAATAATTTTTTTTTTTTATAATACATGCACTTAATTTTTCCAATATATACATGTACAATAAAAGCAAGCAAAAGTAAACCAAAACTTTATTAATTTGGCAATTCAGATACATTATCATTACCTCAAACTATTATTATAAGCACTTTAAACAAGTTATAAATCTGTGAATATTATATATTTATTGATAGCACAAAGGATCATATTGCCATATTCTTAAATATATTAATAATGACTTTTTTTTCTTTTTCGAGTTTTTGATTCTTTTTTTTATAGCTAAGAGAAAACAAAAAGGAAAAAATATAAGTAATTTATACATATATTATCACAAAAAAAAAGAAATTTTTTTGCATACACATATTCAGATAATTCAGGTGATTTAAGTGATTGCTTAAATTCTTCAACAGTTCCATCATTTAACACAATCCAATACAAATTATCTTTTCTATCGTTTAATCTTGCCTCTTCCAAAGAATTTCCATTAACCACAACATTTGGTTCATATCCTTTTACAAAAATACACGGCCATAGCAATCCAAAAAAATCATTCCATAATCAATCTCCAATAATAATGATATGATTAAAACCAAATTTTGCTACCCACATCCAGAGACCCGTAAAATTTTTTTGTGTTATATGAAATCTTTATTTGCGTTATTGCAAAAATTTGTATTAATTTGCAATAAGATATTAACTTAATATTAATTTGCAATTTCTTTATTTCTTTTTTGGAAAGCATCAGAAATTTACTCAAAATTTTGATCTGATCTTGCTCGTCTTTTATGTTTATTCATTTTCTATTTCAGAAATTTTTAGAATCTTAATTCAGCACACTATCTGACATTATTAGCCAATCAAATTTATAGAATACACATGAATTTTACCCTTAGAAATTTGGTTTAATTTGCATAATCAATCTAAATTTGCATTTATTTGTATTAATTTATATACAAATTTTTACGGGTCCCTGCCCACATTATATATCAGGGTTGGGTTATGACCAGGTCATATCAGGTCATATCAATAAGTTTAATTAATGAGGTCATATGACCTGGTCATATGATCTTACTAATTGAACTTATTGATATGACCTATTATGACCTGGTCATAACCCAACCCTGTTATATATAATTCAAGTCCTTTTGGGTCTCCACTATCACTAGGAAGTTCGCAACCAATAAAAGATGCAATATTATAATCATTTGCATATGTATCAACTACCATAAATATATTGTCGCAAAATGCATCATTTTGTTCATCATATTTTGACACAAGAGACATGGATCCTTGATCATTGGTTGTTTCTCTAGATCTTGGGTAGAGCTAGAGTGCGCGAGTACATAATGACATGGTTTTGTTTGGATTTCCTTTGTCCATGCAGTGCTTCCCAAGATACCAATTGTGAACAATTTTCCAAAGGATGCCTGCAAATTTTCAATTGTTGTTCAGTTAGGGCAGACTTTAAATTCAGATTTAATATCAATATGTTCTTCACTCTTGATTCTGGCATTTGTGTCAAGAATTTTTTTGTCTCCTTTGTCACTAGTCCGAAACGAATTAACACACTGAACATGAACCTCAAAATTTTCCCTTTTCATCTCGAGTATATGAGATTTATCGTCCGGAGACAAAATAGTATATTTGGCACCATCTTCACAATCTTTTCAACTAAGAGTTCCTGACTCCTTACAAGATATGCAACTTAACTTTGTATTGTAGATTTCCAGGAGAACGTCCAAAGAAGAGATATTATGTTCCATATTGTTATCATTGGAACTTTCCGATAATAAAGCAGATTTATTATTTTGCCCTTCGGTCTGAATGGAACCATAATTCTCTCTGGTGATCTATCCAAGAAAAGTGGCTTGCTAAATACTTTTGAAAATTTTTCTGTGCAATAAACATACCTGTAGGGTTCCATAAATTCGGTTATCAGCTCTTTCTGCCATTGTTCTTGTAAAGTTCCTAGCCAAGCATATGGACTTTAGAGACAATACACGTACAAAATGGTAAGCAAGATTATTATATGAGTGCCGCCAAGAGAAAGCCTGTCATCGAACTTTCAACATTTCAGCGGATCGGCGGAATTGGACCTTTTAATAAGGCCCTAAATTAATCATTTTAAGGGTAATAATAATTATATCAAATTAATAAATTATACGGATATCGGTTAGTATAT